TTGCACATTCCCCAAACATGAAGTCGGAAAGATCGACATATAAAGTGAATTCTATACTTGACCCACTTGTGATCGCGAAACGCACATTACATGTGAGAGCACTGTCAATGTTTGAATGACTCCTACATGTGGATTAGTTTGTAGAGACGACAGCGTTCTAACCTGTACTCGCAGCATAACGCTGTTGTTTTGTAAGATTAATGTCGACGACTGATCTTCCTATCTCTTTAAACTAGGTAAGGCGCATTTTTTTCATGTTGGTTAAAGCTAATTAGTTTCACATCTATACAAGGATGCAGGTGACTCAGGACCGTGCTATGTGGCAACCTTGGGGGAGGCCTATGTTCAGCAGTGGACTTGAGAAGGGCTGTAATGGTGTTGATACAAGTAAAAAACTTAATATGAAAATTTTAAGAACTCTCGAAACAAAAAGAAGGTGATGATATTCAAACAGCTGAACCGATTTTGTTAAAACACGTCTAAGAACCACCGCTAGAAGACTTGCTTTTAAACAAAAAACCGCACCCAAATTGGTTCACCAGTTTATGAGCTACTGTGCCACAGACAAACACACCGACAGACACACAGACAGATACACAAACAGACAGACACACAGACACGCATATCGGTCAAACTTATAAGACTCCTCTTTTACGTCGGAGGTTAATAAAATTGCTTTTAACGAAATGCGTATGAAAGTATATACGATACTAACAACGGAAAAGTATTATTTATAAAACTTTTGTCTTTCTGTCTGTTTGTTAGATACGGCTAATCTCCGAAACGGCTGGATCAATTTTAACGGGATACTGGCTAGCTGATATAGATAGCTGTTGTTATAAGGAGTAACATTGGCTACTTTACTTTTATTTTAGAAAAACAATTAGGGTTTCGCGGATAAAGATTCAAACCTATGAAATTGTGAACAAATAGGAAATTATAATAATTAATTACTAAAAATTATTCTACGCGAACTAAGTCGCGGGCACGGCTAGTCTATAAACCTTCCTATTCCTTGCTACATAAACACTAATTGTTTCTCCCAATACCGTTCCCCGTTTCAAGTCTATTGAGTTTCATACAGCATATTATATAGCCCTTGTTTTGTAAATTCATTAATAACGCACGTTTCCTAAATAACATCGGAGCTGCCAAGCGTAGTATTGAATTTCGGCAAGCAATGTTACTAAGTTCGCAACAAATTAAATTTTCTGTTTGGCAGTTCAGATTTATTGTTGTTGAGAAATCAGCGTTGAAACTTTTTCGGCGCACGCATTTTCCGTTTCATCTACGCATGGATTTTTGTGTCTGCACAACTTTTGGCAGAGTGAAGCGCTTTGGATAAATATTACTTAAAAGTTCTTTGAAGAAATGTAAATTATTTCAAGTTGATTTTAAATGCTCGATCAAGCAAAGGTAAGCTGCAAATAGACGCTTATTATAGAAATTCGGCGAGTGAGCCGCGGAGTTAGGCAAATTGATTTTAGAGTAGTATAGAAAATAATAATTTTTATTCAATATAGATTATTACATAATACTTATTGAAAGTCAATAAGTATTATGTAATAATCTATATTGAATTATAATCTATAATATATCGAATTATAATCTATAATAATCTATATGGAATTTTTTTTATTTACCACTATACTGGTCCGGAAATTACCCCTGCCCTGGAAAGAACCAGCAAGAAACCCTGGAGTTATAAATTTAAAATATTTTTCAATTTTTTTTTATAGGAGAGGGGGCAAACGAGTATGCGGCTAACCTGATGGTAAGTGTCTACCGCCGCCCATGAACAACTGCAACACCAGGGAGGGTATAGCAGATGCGTTGCCGGCCTTTTAAAAAGGAGTAGGCTCTTTTCTTGAAGGTCCCTAAGTCGTATCGGTCCGGAAAAATCGCTGATGGTAATATAAAAAATTAATAAATAGATAGCAAATCAAATTTAATGAACACTAATCAATTTTTCATTATGCAATCACACGAATGAAACAGCTTAGCAGTGGCATGTGAGTACAGACCTCCATTTATTATTGACATGGTCCTAAAGCAGTTAGAAGTGCGTTTGACTGATTTCACAATATGTTCCCGATATATTTTGTTACTTAGACATGCAATGCAGGTATACTCACGCTCTCTTCCCTCGTATGGTTTTTTTTAATTAGCACTATAATTGCAAGTAGTAATTAAGTGGTGCTAGCAGGGATCAAACTCGGGACGCTAGCGCGCTATAAAATTTAACATTAACTATTTAATTAGCGCCCCAACTCATGAAAAGGGCACTTCGCAGTAAAAGTCGTTAATTTTGTACAGAAACATTAAATACTTAGATCTACCACATCTAGTAAGTAATTATACTGACATTGAACTATCTTTTATTTTGCAAAAGAGAACCATAAGAGCAGTTTATAACTTAGGTCCGAAGGAATCCCTTACAGATTTTTTTTTAAATAAATAAATACCTATATTAACTTTAGTCCCTCAATTACGAAAATTTAATGTATACACACGAAAACAAAAATAGTTTTATTAAAAATAGTGACGTACATTCTGTAATTACTAGGAACAAGCATAAGTTAGTTATACCAGTTACTCAACTCCAAAGAGTCAGTAATTCGTTCATGGGGCAATGTATACGCTTTTACAACAAAATCCCAGAAAATATGCAAACCTTATCTATCAAAAGGTTTAAATATTTAATAAGCAAAAATTGTTTACTAAGGGTTATTATACTACTAAAGAGTAAATGATTGATAATAACCCCTGGGAATAAAGTGATCCCTACCATGTTGTTTCTAAATGTTATATAACATTCATATAAATATTGTACTGTAAGTTCCGCTGGGTTTTTTGCTGGTTCTTCCCAGGACAGAGGTTTTTTTCGAACCAGTACAGTGGTAAAAGTTAAAAATTACTTTCAATAAGAATTACATGTAATCTATATTGAATAAAAATTATTATATTCTATTCTATTCTATATCGTAGATAAACTATTGGCTATATATATATATATATATATCTGTTTACTTTGGAATTCAAGTGATACTACAATTAATCTGTTTCTTAAACACAATAAAAGGTCAAAGTATCTCTTAGTTTGTGCGCTCCAATATATCTATAATGGTTGGTGCGTCCGTTAGTGATCGTGTAACATTTTAATAACGACCGGTTAAGGTTGAAAAACAAAATATGTTTTTAGTGACGATAGTTCATAGCTATACTAACATCGATCACTTATAAAAACTAGATACACAACCAGTGACAAAAATGTCCTTACCGAATGAGCGCCCACTCGAACATTTGGGTGCGCTTTTAATTTGTACGTAGCTTTGTGAATACAACTTTAGGCAAAGCGTGTAAGGTTGAATTTACATTAATGTATATTTATTTCAACTAGAATTATGTCAAACCAATTGGCGAAAGTTTTTAGGGAAATTTTGCATGGGATTGTGGATCTAGTTTTTTTTATTATTGATCGATGTATGCTAATATCCGCGGCCCTTAGTGCTGCAACTCATTGCTAAGCCACTGCGCCACGGCGCCGTCAATTAATTTCTTTAATTTGTATTTTATTTTGTATTCATGTTGGTAACTATCAATATAATTACATTATTATTTATTAGTCAGCAGTTTTCTTTCATATAGGTTAGTTATAGCATAGCATTGGTTTACAGAAGTGCTGTAATGTTATTATTTTGTAATAAATAAATAAATTTTATTTATATGCACATTCAGTGCTTGAATACAATCCCACCTGATGGTATGTGGTAATGAAGCCTTAGATTTCAAATGGCACTGTCTTAGCGTAGCAAACACCTACTTATTTTTGCCTTAGACACCCTGTAATCGGACGAGAAGACAAATCATTGGCAATTTATTCCGCTCCTTTGGTGTACGCTTTACAAAAGACAAGCAGGTTCCGTCTGGGTTTGACCTGTGATGGTGTAGCACGTTTTATGACTCCTAGGTCATCGATCGTGCATTCAATTAACATAACAGTTAGACTATTAACATACATCTTGGATGTTGATTTTACAACACTTGCTCTAGTGAATACAATCATGGAAGATGAAGGCAATGGAGTAAAACGAACCAAGAAAGAAAATAGATAGTATAAATAATTTAACTTTAAAAAAAAGTAAAACGGACTTTAAAACAATTCACATAAAAATTTCTGAAGTCAGTTTAAATAGTGTATCGATATCGATAGATATGATTTTTTTCGATAAGAATAACTTATCGAAAAATACCGACTTCAGAAGCTACCGTTATAGCCTAACTATTAAAATCCACTGCACAACATAGGCCTGCCCATAGATTGCCTCATACCACAGTTTTTAACTTTAGTCGTTATTAGGAAGACGCTGCTTCTTTCCTCCTGATTTATTTCCTTCTGGCGCCTCTTACGACACCCATGTGATGATATGGGGTGGTAGAAGATATTCTTACACCGCCACTACTTGGTAACTTCAGAAGCTATCATGTGGAAATATTTATTTTTATTTTTGAAGCTGTACTTCTTTTTAAGACTAATTATTTTACCTTTTGAGTAGACTTAGGAATTTACCACGTTCAAGGTAAGATAGTTTGTTTTAAAAACTCGATCTTCTATTTCTCTATCCACATGGTTAAAAGTTTTTTAAAAGTGATATGGAACCACCTCTGAAATGTAACCTATTTAGTAAAAGAAGAATCTTAAAAACGGTTCAGCCGTTTCCCAGAAGTCTGTGTACATACATAACAAAAACATACGCGTCGAATATAGAACCTTGTCGGTTTTTAAAACTCAGTTAAAAACAAACAACACAATATAGAGGTATTTTTATCACAATGTAATGAGAAATGTATGTAAATTTGAAACAGTGAGATTAGTTTTACGAGCATCAGAGATTGCTATTAACGCACCAAAACTAATCAGTGATAGCGCTCGCGTTTGTACAATGCAAACGTTGTTAGAAAATTGAATAATTAAAATCAAGAAAATCATAAACAAAATAATGTTGCGCAGAATAATATATGAACTGATAACGTCTGTTATGCTCATACAAATGGCGTCAAGTGTTGGCGAAAAAGCGTTCAAAGCGTGCAAAACCTACGGGCAATCGATGCTAGAATGTCACAATGTTCTATTTCCATCATCGCGAGTCAGAGTTCCGGTAGATATGCTCTTGTATCCTCACATGGTGTTAATAGGTTTTAAAAAGAATACTGAAGATCCACCAGCGTGGAAATGTGGTGGAAGTTTAATAAGCGAAGAGTGGGTACTAACGGCGGCACACTGTACAAAAGATCCCATTTATGGAACACCAAGAGTATTGAGGATCGGCACAGCGACATTCGAGTTTGACGAAGTCGAAGAATTGGCACAAGAGAGAAGTATCGGGGAAGTTGTTTCTCATCCGGAGTACAAACCACCTTCAAAGTACCATGATATAGCCCTTATGAGAAGCGACCCGGCGTTTATACTTAACCGCGACATAAGGATTGCTTGTTTGCAGCTGGGTGATGATAATAAGTACGTGAACTTTACAGTCATCGGATTCGGCACAACTGTGTCCGGTGTCGCGACAGGCAGTCAGACTTTGATGAAAGTTGACGTCGATATCATCAATAACACAGTGTGCAACAATTCGATGAGATATTTGATAAGGAGGAAAGTATTGTCACACGGAATTACTGAAGATCAACTCTGCGCTGGCGATTACGAACATGGGGGTAGAGATACGTGTCAAGGTGACTCTGGGGGACCTTTACAAATTATGGAAGACAGGGTTGATTGCATCAACACATTCCCGTTGCACACTGTTGTTGGTGTAACATCATTTGGAAGAGATTGTGGTAGAAGAATGGCACCAGGCGTATATACGAGGGTATCACGATATGTAGAATGGATTGAGAGTATTGTGTGGCCGGCTTAAATACATTTATATTGTACATTATATAAAAATATTGGTATAAAATTGCAATAAAAACCCTATCATTAGCGACATATCCGCTGTGTTTCCATGTGGCAGTAGTGTGTAAGAATCTTTGAGCATAAATAGTCTCGTGGGTGGTGTAAGAAATGCCAGAAAGTTCGGATGACCTCCGACAGATGGCGATATCAATTTCTCATATAATATATGAAAAATGCGTTATTACTATTACAACAGCAATCGATTTGAGTGAGATCCGTTTCCAGCGGCGTACAAAGACTAGCTAATAAAGAAATAGAAGAATTAGTACTATAAATTCAGTTCGAAATTGATCAAGCAATAACTTTCCTTGTGCGCGAGTTTTATTTAAGTCATATAAAAGTTTTCTCCCCCCCTACTAGGACCAAAGTTTTTTTGTTAGCGTTTGTGAACATATAATCTTACTCACCTTTACAGCAAACACCGCATTTAACTTATAAAATATGCACCAGTAAAAGCAAAACATCGTACCTGAAACAAAGGGAAGGATTCATGAAAACGCGTTTAAGTGTCAGCCGAAAAGTTACATTCGAATAATACGATGATATTTTCTGAAATTGTTTCGCTGTTATACTCCCAACATCTTGCGCATATATTACGAAATATTGTACCCCAAAGGGGCATACCGCCTTAAGAAAAAACCTTCAGTAACTCGCCTCGGAAAATAAGGCTTTGAGAGCTTTAGATTGAGATAAAAACATTAGTGGCACTTATAAAATTGCTAAATCTCTAGTGCAGGCTCTCCAATCAAGTTTAAGAGTTTAATAATTAGCGCTTAAGATGATTAATGATAACAATTCAACAGATTTAAAATTCGATTTTCGTAGATGGTACTCTCCAAGCTTTCAGTAAATTTTGAAGTGCATTATTTTGAATGTAAAGTTTTTTAATAGTGGCGAGCGAGCACATAGTCAACATAAAGTTAGTGAATACTGTGGTTCATAGACACCTACATCTATCCTCGTTAATCACAATGCGGTTACGTTGCCATACCTTAGGACTAAGATGGCATGCCACGTTACCAGTAAGGAGGGTTTCCGTTTATCACCATTCGAAACTCAGCAGCATTATGCTGCTATTTGCCGCCGGGATTTGACGGCTTCTACTACAAATACTTGTTCTGTAAATAATTGTTCTGGGTCTCTGGATTTTTACGGAGGTAACGTTTTTTATAAAGAAAAGAAAATGATAACGTGGTTCTTCCCCGGTTGAGATGACTTTTTGCTGCAGCTATAATACATTGCAGCATGGTACACGTAACTGTATTTTCGTCAATATTTATAGGATTCGACGCTAATAGAAACTACGTAAGTTTATATGTGGTAGAGCCATACTGCAGCTATCTTAGTAGTATAGTTGTAGCATGAATGGGTCGGCTCGACCGGGGAAGGACCACGCTCTCACAGAATACCAGCGTAAAATAGCACCTTACCGCTGCATTGTTTCGTATGGTGAGTGTAGAGAAACGGAGACCCTTTTTACTGGAAAAGAGGCATTCCATATTAGTCCTCACGGGTGGCAACGCCTCTGCATTTTGATTCACAAACGAGGATAAATGTAGATGTCTATGGGCCACAGCAGCCTCTTACCATCAGGTGGACTGTGTGCTCGTTTGTCACCCTATACTATAAAAAAAAGAAAAAAATGAGACTTTCATTCCATCTAATAGTAAATGGCTACCGCAGTACAATGACACCTGCAGCTATTTTTTTTTATAGGATTAGGACGACAAATGAATACACAGTCCACCTGATGGCCCATAGACATCTAAACCTATCCGCGATTACGAATCAAAATGCAAATGGTGGCAAATATGTAAGAGGGTGTTACCTATCAGACGGACTACTTGCTACGCAGAAAAGGAGTCCCACCCTCATCATTACTGCCCTTCACAAATCCACTGTTAAGCATAGGCCTCCCCCAAGGAATGCTTCAAAGCACGGTCCTGAGCCACCTGCATCCATCGACTTCCTGCATGTCTTACCAGGTCGCCACTCCATCTAGTGAAATGTCGCCGTACACTTCGCATACTGGTACGAGGCTGCCACTCGTGAAGCTTTTTTCCCTATCGGTTGTCGGTTCTTCGAGCTATATGGCCGGCCCATTGCCAATTCAGTTTATTAATCCTACCAACTAATTAAATACATAATATATACGTAAATTACGTGTTAAACTAAAAACTACAAATATTTCAGTTGAGATGTCCTTTGCCGATTTATAATTTTTATTACACTATAAAGAAATAAAGGCGCGGTAACAAGAAGGCTAGTTGCATTTTATGGCAGTAACATAAATCCAGTAGCACGCCCTGGCCCGGGTATAACAAGTGTAAATTATTTAATACAGTTATTCCTTTATTCTCTGGAACTCTGGTGCGTATCATATTTAGTTGACTTTTTCGACGATCACGAGGATCGCTCACCTGTGTCCATAATTGAACCTGTATATGTATATATACATATGAACAGTGGCCCTGGCAGACATATATGCAACTATGTTTTTGTCATATAAATTATAAATTCACTCAATAGCAATATGTTCAAGCATCATTTTTAGGCTTCCGTATCCAATGGGTAACCAACGGAACCCTATTACTAAGCCTCCGCTGTCCGTCCGTCTGTTTGTCAGAGCTGTACCTCATGATACGTAACAGGTAGACACTTGAAATTATATAAGAATTTCCATTCCTGCTATAACAACTGATAACAAAAATAAAAATAAATTAAAAATTAAAGGGGGCTCCCCTACTAGAAACGTGTTTTACGATGGTACGGAACCCTTCATGCGCGAGTCCGACTCGCACTTGGCCGACTTTTTCAAACAAATGAGGGTGACAAACAAGCACACCTGATAGTAAGTGAATGCTGTGGTCCAGAGACACCTTTTTTCCTCCTCGATTAAGAATTAAAATTAAGTTACGAAAGTCTGGGATGGAATGCCTCGCTACTAGTAAGGAAGGGAGGTTCTCGTTAATCACCATATGAAAAAAAAACAATTTATTTATTAACACAACTAAGAGCCGACCGATTCGTGCTGCAGACGCTCCAGCGTAGGCCTAACACGTAATTAATTGTTTGATTTTTTTATCTCCAAAGTTCTCGTCGTACACTGACACGAACAATCCTAACTGTCAGGACTTGAGGATACGTAATTAAATGTTTCACGAACAAATTTTAATTTAAGTTTGCCCACAAACAGGTTTATAAGTCAAAAAAGTAAATTAATTTGCATAACATAGACACCGTAGGAGGGCAGGCAATTAAAGTTGGGATTAACTTTAAAAGATATCTTATTACACAAAAACACAATTTTCAACTTACACGAAAATTGCGTAATGTCCATTTTAACTTTTGCTCGGAGGGTCCTGCTCCAAGTTAAGATGGATTCGTCGGGGAGCACTGTGTTCACATTAAGGCACTGAAGACAACTGGTTTACCAATTTAAGATACAGAAAGATTTCAGAAAGTTTTTTTATAGAAGTGATGATAACAAAGGAGTCATACAGTTCACCTGATGGTAATCGGATACTATAGTCATTAGATATACATCTTTTATTAGGAATAAAATGTATATACCTTATCACCCCTAAGATTTTTTTTTATAGAATACGGATGACAAACGAGCACACAATCCACCTGACGGTAAGTCCATACTGTGGCCTATATACATCCACATCTATCCTCGAGTAAGAATCAAAACGCAGATGCGTTGTCACCACAACATCGACCCATCATCAGAAGGAATATGAGTTTGTTTGTCACCCTTATTCTATAAAGTAATATATCTAATCCGAATTTATGCTACATGAGCTCGCTCGCTCAGTAATATGTTTTTACTAGTTTTAGACTCGTTACTGATCTACTTCTTCTTAATCACATTTAGAAATAATTGCTGTGTGTAAGTCTTATTTAAAAATTTGTCCATTCTAATCATGCTGACTGCAATATTGTACACGGAAAATAGACGGAAATTTTTTATTTGTAAAACAGTACGTGTTGAATGATGGATGAACAATTGCCTCAGCGGTAAAACATTAAATAAACAAATACTCCTGATCTTGGCCCTTCAAAAATAAATTATTCTCTGTATATGTCTCTACATATTTCTTATTAGAAATAAAAAATATAAATAAAGAGACGTAACTCATCTAAGTCTGTACTGGCACGCTTCGCAACTCTCCTAATAACCCGGCCGAAGTTCGGAGACATTTTTTCGGGGCAATTTTTTTGTAATTGCCAATCTGCCTCGAGCGATATCTTCTGAGTTATCGAGATTTTAAATGAAGCGCCTGTGAATTTAGAGAATTCAATTATTTTCATACGACGCTCGGGGCTCACAATAAGAGCGGAACTGTCGAATTAATTAAAGAAAAATAAATACATGAAGGAATTTTTCACGAAGTTTGAGAACCACTACAAAATATAGTATGGCTTGTCCACTTAAATAAAAAAAATAGAGAATCATTGTTTTAATTCAATTTCGGGTTGTTATTTTTATGTGGCGAAACATGAAACACTGGTCTTATAGATATGCTAAATTTACTTTTAAAATTTTAACAACAGGAAACTAAATAGAAAAAAAAAGTAGTTGTGCAAAGAATTTTTGCTTATTATTTACACTGTAAGTTAAATAATTTAGCGGGCTTCTCGACGAAGATGCCTTAGAGCCGCCTCGCATTTTTCGACGAAGCTTCGCTCTTGCGGTTAGCAAATTTCTTCGTAAAAGTTTTTTTCGTAAATAAGCTTTTACTGGTTGGTTAAAAATTTCTTCTTGGCGTTTTTGGAGTATTTGACCTTTTATAAGAGGTTTTCTAATCGCATTAAGATGAAATCTCGACATTTATATGGTTCTCTTTAAAAGATACGTCTTTTGAGTAAGCAATGTTTCTTTATCTTTACAACCTATACAAATATAGCGAGTACTTGCAGGAGTTGTTATTATATATATATATATATATATATATA